TCAAGCCAAAGTATCTACATGGACAAAATAGCTTTTCCTTCTTTTATTTTTTTTTTCTTCCACTAGCATGGCAGTCAGCCTTTGGGATGAATACGAATGCTATTATGTTTAAAGTACTAAATATGAAAATAATTTATGGTGGTTTAAAATACTAACATAAGGATTGTTTATATTTGTGTATTTTTTATTCTTCCCACTAAGCTGCAATTGCTAAAGGGAAAAGATCCTATTGAGGAAGAACAGGGAGTGTATGGAAAGGGAGCAAAGGACTCTACTCAAAGAAATTAGTAAATTAAACAGAAATTCACAGGTGAAAGAATAGCCCACTTTTTAAGGTTGACATCGCTACTTCTCTGGCATAAATTTCCCACCCTATCTTACTTTTCTTTTACTGCTTAGTATAGTTCAACCCACTTTAACCACTTTTTCTTTGTATTTTCCCTATTTACTCTGTGTTCAAACCTAGCCATTAGATTCATAATTGCCGCCACACTAAACATGAGAGACTCGCTCTCCAGCTATGCAGGGGAGTATTTCAGCTCAAGTGGCAAAAATAAATAGAGAAGGAAAGGGATGAAAGGCGGAAGGAAGGAAGAGAGAGAGGGAAGGAGGGAGGGAGGGAGGAAGGAAGGAAGGAAGGAAGGAAGGAAGGAAGGAAGGAAGGAAGGAAGGAAGGAAGGAAGGATAGACAGAAGGAAAAAAAGAGAGAAAAGAAGAAATGAGGGAGAGAGAAAAGAATGGAAAAGAGAGGCATAGGAAAAGGAAGAAATAGAAAGAGAAGTGAAAGAGGAAAATGAGTGAAAGAAAGAAGAAAGAAAGGAGCAAGTGAAGAGAGATTAAGAAAGCATTTCTAAATTTACTTTTTGCTTGAACATACCGAACTTGGCCAAGCTGACTTCAACTTCCATGTGGTTATGGTTGAAGATGCATTCCATTAAAGACTTTTAATAAGGAGGCTAAATATTTTAAACAAATCTCAACATAAGTTCATTTTATTGTGGAATGTCCAAAATAGGGAAATTCTTCTAAATTGGGAGCAAACGTGTACATGAACCGGGCATGCACGTGTTTTTATCTTGCTAAAAGCTTCCTTGAATTTTTCAAATATTTAAAATAATAATTTCTAAAAGGAGCAAAAATTCAGTTTAGTAGAGAAATCCCAATTTTACAACATAATAGAGTTATTACCTTTGTCTTCTCAAATACCCTAAGGACAATACCAAATTATATTTTTGAGCATCCAAACATGGCTTCAACTCTTCATATGTTTTCTCAGCTACTTCCTTAATTTCCACTAATTAATCAGAATTATTCACTTAGTGTCATATTATTAATGAAGTATCATAAGTATTTATCCTAAAAGAATATATCTAAGGTAATCTATATATGTAAATTATCTCAAATATTAACTTGGAAGCCCTTATTTAGTTTGTCACATGTAGGTTACTTTATTATAACCTATTTCATGGTCTGAATTATCTGAATACTCATGAATATAAACAAATAATAACAAGGCAAAGTAAATAAACATGTCACATTATATGGGCCAACTATTCACCTGCAGGAATGAAGAGTAAGTTACCATTCACATTTCAAAATTCTCTTTGTCTTGAAATGTCAAAAGCCATTAATGATTTTGGAATTCATTTCCAGACTATTTTGAGTTTTGAGGAAATCTGTTCTCAATTCAGTATTATTTCTAAAAGAAATTTTAGATCTGTCAATTCTAGAATGTAATAGCATTCCTTAGAAAACTGAGATAAAGACAGCTTGGGACTAGGACTGTCCCTAATAGAAATGACTGTATGTATGTATACAAGTTGTGCATTGCAAATGACACCTCTAACTTCTTAAGTTTGCTGAAAAGGACTTAAAAAGAGTGAATTTTAACACTCTGTATAGTAGCATAGCTGAAAGTTTCCTGAAGTGCTAACGAAAAGGTTGGCTAAATGTTTTATCTTGATGGTTGAAGGCAATAGCATTGTGTCTGACACTTGACTCATTTTTCTCACTTCAGAAACTTAAAATAAATCAACAGACATCAAGTTTCTCTTTCTTCTAGTTATTTGGACTACATGACGAATGGGAGTTTGCCTTCTTTTTTGTTGTTTAGCTTTATAAAAATATATACTACCACAGTATTTAGAATGTATACTTTTACTGCAAATTTTACTAGGCCAGTTACTTTAATAAAACCTTCACATTTCTTTGTTTTGGGCATGTATCCACATGTGGCATTTCTTACCTTTCTGTCCCTACCAAGATGATGGTTAGAAGGTACATATCATCTTTATTTATTTTTCTTCTCCTGAGTATATAATGTATGTTATAGTAGTTTCTGCTAGGCTTATTTACATTTTTTCATTAATGCAATATTTAATAAAAAAAAAAACCTTTGTTACTTTAACATTTTGCTCTACTTAGAAAATATATTTGTCTTTAAATATCCCACGGTTTTTGCTGGAGAAAAGAGTAACTCTTCAGGTTAAACATAATGCATTATCAATGAATTTCAGCCCAGAAAGAATTAGCCTTCTGGGTGCCAAGCATCACAGTCTTGGCCTCTATCCAGGGCTGATATTCTAGTTTTATTTTATGTTTCCCCAGCTGCTTTCTAAATCTGGGGAGGCAGCACCAGCCAGAATTTTCTAGTTTGAACACAGTATGCTAAACGCTTCTGTTCTCCCTTAGTAGTTGCTACTAAATGATGCACAGAAAGTTTGATCTTTGAATTTTATTTTCAAAGCCCCTTTTCCACTGAAACAGAAAGTGCAAGGGGTCGTATAAACATGAGATCTATCGAGGACAACTATTTATTTAGCATTTTTAAGAACTGATGTTAGTATAGAGATTGAATTAAGAAACTAAATTTATTTTAATTCCAATCACAGAATGTTTTTTTGAGAGAAGAAAGAATAGGTATAACAGGTTTAATACTCTAATAAAATATGTGAGATTGTTCTTTTCCTGAGGTGAACAGATACATAAACATGCATTTCTATTTTGATTATCACATATAGAAATTTCAAATTTTGATTTTTATATATAGTGATATATCAAATAGTCCCCATTTACATCTTTTTGGTATTTAGGGTAAAATGTTTAAAAGGAAACATGTCTTAGATAGTAACTCCATCTTGCAGAAAACAAAATGCAATTTATGTACATTTTGTAATTATTTATTAAAAGGAAAAAATATTATTAAAATCCTCACAAGATGTTACTTTTATTTAAGAATAATGCCTGAGTTTCTGAATTGCATCTATATTCTTCCTTTAAGGTTGATATTCATGTTAATAAGTCATACACATTATCAATTTTTCAAAAGGTTTTTTTATGCATCAATCTTTGTGGCAACCAATTGCCATTCAGATAGAATTAAAAAGGACAATTATGCTTAGTGTTCAATTGCCAAAAATCTTCCCAATTATCTTACTATGTCTATCAATGTAAATGATGTAAATATTGATCATAAGGTATACCTGCATAAAATTCCTTATTTCTAAAATGTCAACAATCATAGCAAGTTTAAATTTACATTTATATACTGAGATAAATGTAAATGGAAAGTATATTTTGCTTATTAATCATTTATTTTGTATGAATTCCAGTTGAAGACTTAGGCTGTTCTAGTCAGTGGATTTATACAGTCTAGGTATACTTGCTTCTTAAAAAAAATAACATAGCAACCAGTTGGCATCTGGATATAGCTAATTGGCATACTTTTAATAGAAGAGATTAAAATTATTTTTTGATATTAAAAAACTTCTAAATCTTTGTGGAGAAAATTTATTGTCTCCTAGTTTTCGGGAAATGCAACCAATTACAGTAACTTTTATCTTTATCAATTTCCTAATGTGGCAAGAAACTCACAGGATTTTAATCATGAACTTGGTGAGAGTGGACAACTAAAATGACTTTAAGAGTTACAGAAGCACACCTATATCTTGGTATGTGATTTATTTAAAACATTTGTGGTCTTGAGGTAATGAAAAATATTCTGGTAAAAGGCATTGTGAATGCAAGCAATGGTGTGTTTAAAAGAGACATGATAAAGCATAAGCTGTTGAAACTTTTTCAGAGCTATATGGGAACTCACAGTATAACCCATCATAATAAACAAAACATATCATCACTTGAAAATGCTAAGATGATAACTCTGAGAAATATAGTATTTTGTCAGAACAAATTACGAGCAAAATATAGTTTGTTTCCCTTATATTTAGCTTCCTCTAACAGAGATACTGAAAAGAATGAGTAAGACCATATTTAAATACCATGTCTTGCATTCCAACTTATTCTCTGCACGAGGAATTTGGAGGTATTTATAGGTATAACATAAAGCTGTTTCTGTCTTCCTAGGAATATATATATATATATGGAATATGACATATATTGTTCTAAGAATTTATTTTTCTTTCCTAATAGGAGCTAGGAGGAGGACATCCATTTCTTTATAAGCAATTTATGACTGTATCATACAATTTCAAATGTCTGTGGCAGCTGTTTCTCTAAAGCAGACCATTAGAACAGAGCATGCCTATAAATCTCTGGTCCCAAGGAGAGGAGTTCCCATCTTCAGTAATTTGAATGCCATGTTTTCAGTAACACTTTTTGGGGAAATATTTATAACCCTACAGTTAGTTTTGGATATTGAATTTGCAACATCGGTGATTTTGGGAAGACTAAAATTGTCATCAAATAAGATGTTTTTTTATGCAAATATCCTGGCAACTGTTTAAAATATACCAAGTTGTATCTCTTTTTTAGGCAGGACTCTATTTTCCATTTATCTTGCAAATATAACTTCTACAAAGCATAATGACAGTTAAGAAAACAGGCTGAAAAGGGAGACTGAATTTGGTTTTAAAATATTATCTGCTTCTACATAAATCTTTCACAAATAAAACTTTATTGTATTCTACTTGTTTACATAGCTAAGCAACACAAATCCATTTATTGCACACGCCTCAGTTTCAGCAAATTAAGTAGTAACTTACCTAGAGAAGCATTTCAATGTTTTTTCTTTTCCTAACTTGAATTTATCCCGAGTTAGAAAATGAGATATCCAGTATTCAGGTTCACTTGGCTCCAGGTTAATTAGAAGGAGCTTTCAGTTCATGCAATCTGCCTGAACAGTATTCCAAGAGCACTCTCTAGCTCCAGTCCTAGTATCTGAACTCTTCCAGCAGAGTCTTTTTTATTTATACACACATTGTCCTTTTTCAAAACAAGCAGCCAGCTGGGATGATTCAAACCTCTGTTCAGCACACCGTTAAAATGCAGCTTCCTTCTTGGACACGAGAATTACACCAGGGAGCAGACCGAGTACAGCAAAAAGGCAATGAGAACTATTTAATCACCGGAATACCAGCTGCTCCTGCTCTGCTGTTGCTACTGCTGCAGCTTCTCCTGTGTAGCTGTAGTCGGTCTTTCCCTCCTTCCCCTCTCTCATGTCTCCAGAACTAGAAAGGCAGCTTTGCTGGGTTATGATTGGCAGAAACAGCCAATTCTTTCAGCTAATCATCCTCAAGACTTTCAAGAACCTGAGGCTGTTGTGATGTCATCCAGTCAGTGGGATGTTACACATGAATACATTCCAACAGAAGCTAATTCAGCGATCCACTGCATTCCTCTCACACCACGGTGATTGATTAGATGCTCCTTGAGGATTTGCATAATCTTTCATTGTACAGTTGGACTATTTCGTATGAAATTTGAGAATAACATTCCACTTTGCAGCTATAAGACTGTACCACAAGATGCTGTTGGGTGAAATAAGAAAAATTCAAGACAGGGTTTTCTGCTGCAAATGTGCCAGTCAAACATACAATTTACAAACTCAAAGAGAAAGCCAACGACGAGCAATAGGAAAGCTGGACAAGTATTAGTGAACTACATAATCCTCCAATTAATAATAGCATTTTAGACCATAATAAATATTAGAAGAAAAGAAAGAATGTGTGTGTGTGTGTATTGTATGCATTGTTTTATTAATTGAAATAAATTACTGGATTATAATGGAAAAGTTCTTTTCTATTCCCAGTTCTGCCAAAAATTGTCTTCATGTGTTGGTTCTTTTTTAATTGGCAACATGAGATCATTACCTGCTTTCTGTTCTCTACTAACTCATGTAAACTCATAAAGATACTATAAAGTACTTTGATATACTTTACGTAAAGTTCTTTAAAGTTTTTCATTAGAATACATACAAAATAAAAGTAAAGCACTTTCAACTGCATTTCTTCACTCCAGTCTATATGATTACAAGGGGCTCTTCTTGCTTTATCACATAATCTCTGCCATTTAATTTAGTGGAACAAAGATGTGCTAATGAGAATTTTGTCCAAGACCCCTAATAGGCTAGAGAACAGAGCTGCAAACTATTCTCAACTCCAAGTACTCCTCTGGCATATTGGTATCTTTGGTTATAAATAGTTCTGCTTGAAATACTGGCTGGTTTCTGAGAAACCCTATGTATGACTGCCAGGTAGGGGTGGGAGGGAGTCCTTCAAAACTCAGCAGTTATTGGTAATATGGTCTTTTAGATGAATAATTTTAATGCACACAATATTATTATTGTTATTACACTGCACAAGGTTTTGAGGGTCAGCAAGCTGTAGACACATGCTAGATAGACGATAGGAAAAAACATCTAGCAAATTAGAGAGAATATTTACCAGTTATTCATAAATAACAAATATAATCTAGTATATAATAGATCATGTGCCAGTTATTTTTTCAGGTTTACAGGCTAAATATATATTAAAGGAAAAATTATATTTTACAATTCATCAAAAAGAGTCCAGGTATTTCTTACTACCTTTCAAGAACATTTGGAATGCAAAATGCATTTGATGATCAAGTCAGAGTTTTCTTAGTGATACACATCAAAATTAAAAATAGATAAATAAGTTACAGTTAAACATTTCAACAATGTTGTAATGAAATAATTATTAGTGGAATAGCATCATGCCAAACACTAACTGCTGATAAATAAAATGAAATAGGATACACTTTAAAAACTAATTGAAGATTTTCCACTGTATATAGTTTGGCTCACTAATAATGACTTCTTCACTTAAGTTTAGTGATTATTCTTAAGTCTTACATTTACAAAAATGATTTAATGAAAAGAAACATTGTTATAAAACACTCAGGGTCTTTATCCTATTGATATCATTCCATTTCACATCTCCTGAAAGAATGTCACTTTGTCAGAATGATTTTAGTTATTGGAACTAAATTATAACACAGTGAAACGATTATAAAACCATCACATTAAAACATAGAGCAAAATTAACATCCTCAGCACTGGTGATAACTATAGTTGATGTTAATTGATTACAAGTGAAAGTTGATCAATTTCATCTCTAATATTAGTCTATAAACAATATTTTCAGTTGAAAAGACATAGTTTTATTCCCTGTAGTGAAATGACTAATAAAGTGAAACTACTTTGACAATGTAAAAATGTTACATATAATATTAAGGGAAGATATTCTTACTAAACCTAAAATATTTTTAATTATTTGTTAAACATAAACTTTTGGGAAAAAAATCCAGAGATAAGGAATTAAAATTCATTGTAAGGAAAAAAAAAGTCCACTTTACTCTTCTTTTCTCATTATTCATTCAGAAATAAATTAAATATCGAGGATAGTCCCATCATGTAAATATGCGTAAATAAATGGAAACTAACCAAAAAGTTCTTTCTTTTCTATTCCTGGGGAAAGCTGGAGAAATTCACAACATCTAAATTAAAACAATAACAACAAAATAATCTCAAAAGTATTTTGAATATTTTTCTTATAATTTCCTTTGTGTATTGAGGTCTCCAATGAGTAAAAAAATTATCTGTGAAATTATAATCTTTTATCATTTTCTAATATGTCATGTTGGAGGAATGAAGTAAATGACCTTGGACATTTCCGTGATATGCAAGAAAGAAGACAGAGAAGAATTATTTACTCAAAGTGGTTGGTTTTTTTTCAATCACTGAACCTTTGTTCCATATTTATAGGCCTTGCACGTCTGTCAAATGTAGCATCTATGCAGTTAGTTTTCAGTAACATACATTAAGCAAAGTATTTGCCCAACCACTTATATTTTAATTCTATAGAAAAGAAAGTGAATGTTCTTTGATTTTTATTTTGACATCTCATAAAGTGTAGTATAATTTTTCTTTACTTATTAAGACATGGTTCAGACTTATACTAAGACCACAACGGATTTTTATAAAATTGAGTTGAACTTGTTGAACTAGTAAACTTTTGGAGCCCTACATATTTTCATTCAATTGTTTTCTTGCTTCAGCAAATGTTAAATTAGTATTTGCCCATTACAAAACTCTTTTTTAAAACTACATTTATCTTAGAAATTACCTTTTAAACTTTAAGTGGAGGAGTTTCCTTTCAAGTTCCAAAAATGCGTATGTGTAATATATATTGTTTTAAATTTGCAAAAGTGAAAAATGTTGAAAACATTTTATATTACACACTTACAATCTATAAAAAGTATTAAAATATTACATATTTTGTGCTTAATTATTTATACTTTATAATACATATATCTCTCTATATATATTCAATAGAAGAAACAGAAAACAAAACTAAACACATGTTTATTGAAAAAGGAAGCCCATATTTTTGTTTTTAATGTCAGTTCTTTTTTATAGTGAAAATGAGAGTGCAGTTATAGCTACTAAGAGAAATATTAGAAGAGTTCAGAAAAAAATTCAGTAAATTTAACAATTTCAAAATTTCTAGTCATGATTATCACTCATTAACTTTTTTTTTGCTAATTGCTATTAATAGCAAGTCTTAAATGCTTGCACCTAAAATATATAGAAATTTGCATAGAAAATCCCAAAAAATATTTCCAAGTACTTCATAATTTCTATTTTTAAAAAACTCTTTACATGCATGTCCAGATTAGAAGTAGAAGATATTTGCATCTTTAAATACACATTTTTATCCTTTTCAAATTCAATCTCCCTTGTTTAATTCTACTGCACAAATAATACTTTTGAATGAATACAAGTAATTAAATTTATAGTTCTCGTAAATTTGAATGAATGCAACTAATTTAATTTATAGTTTAAACTACTAAATCTTATGAATACAGGATTCTAGTAGCACCATTGTGCTACTTTTTCTCTGTCTCCTTTATTTGCAATGATTTTTTTTTAATGTGAGCAACTTTCCCGTTTTCTCAACAACCACAAAATGCTCTTAATGCCTCTTTTATAAAAGAAAAAGCATGAATGAAAAAAAAATACTACGTTCTGTTTATGTCTTCAAGAAGGGGGGTAAACCTCTAATTGGGCTGTGAGTGATTAATACAAAGTCTTTTTTTTTTTTTTTAAAGACTTCTGCTAGAGTTGTGCAGATAAGAATTCATGTGAGAAAGGAGGGACATAAAGTCAGTTTTACTCCACTGGTGTCATAAACACATGGTAAGAAAATTAGTGTGAAATAGCATTATTTACATAACAAGCTTCCCAGTCACAAACTTAAATTTTATCTTATTACAGATCTGGATGTGTGGTTAGCAAGTTATGAGGGAGGGGAAAGATGGGAAGAACAGGTTGGAAGAAAAAATCTTCTTGCCAGTATCACAGTAGTGCATTGTTTTAGCAAGGGAGAAATCAGCCTGTTAACGCCTCAAATAAATCCTTTGAAGATGCAAAGTTTGAAAGGCAAAGTGAGGGAACAAACAGACTAAACAGTCCAATTCCAGTTCGGCTGACAACTGCCTAAAGAAATATGATTTTTTAAAAATAGCAGCTGTTGGCCAAAGCATCATTGAATCACAAAAATTTTGTTATGTTCCAAAAGGAAAGCACAAAAGTTAGACCTAGGGTGAGGTTAGAGAGGCCAGTTAGGAATTAAATTTATGATTATTCCATGGTCTGATCTTTGCTATGAGAATTTTCGGTGATTTTCTTGTTTTGAGGCTATACAAAGATGATGAGAGTTCATAAAGTACATTAATTACATTAATTAGGTCCCAACTCCAGTGGGAGTTTGTTATCCAAGCAGAATCCTTACTGCAGAGTGCTCATATGGTGTATCTACCATAGCCAGTTTTCCTTTGCCTCTTTCTTTTCTTTATGATTTGCATTGGCCAAACTTTTATTACAGTTTAATGGCGATTTTCTTTTGGATTAGGCCTTAAAAGTCATGTCATTTTATATTCTCTAATTTATAAAGTCCTAAATGCTCGAAGTGAGAAACCTACTTGCAGACCAGAATCCTAGCAACACAGTGATAAATTTGAAAAAACCCTTTCTGTGGTATAGGGTATTTTGTTTCATCTGTTAGCAATTTTTTTTTTTTTTTATCTTAGGTATCCCATTATCATTCGTTTTCTGTCTGCTTCAGTCCTTCGGGGAGAGGTATCTCATTTATGAGCTACTCCAGCTAATGCTCTGATCAGCATGGGAAATCTTAATCTTTCACCAAGCCTTAGTAAATCGGTTTCTGTCCTGTTAGCTCGAATGCCTCACGGTAAATGATCATACTCTGGGTAATTCACTGGATGCTCTCACTCTTCTCTTATTTGGTTTCAGCACAGTGGGGGTCTGTGTGCGCGTACTTGTGTTGGGGGGACGTGTTGAAATGGTGAGCGGTGAGTAGCAGTATCAGAACACAGGATGTTTTAAAGCTAGCTGCAGTGG